ATCTTGAGTGATGGGGACAGAACAAGCAGTCTGTGACTGGTATGGCCCCAACAGCAGGAATGCTTTCAGCCTCTGCCTGCTGTTCCTCTTCTTCTTCTTCTTCCACACTTTCCATCTCTTCATCAGAGCCAATGTCTTCATCAGAATCCATATCTTCCCAGTCTTTTAAAGAAAGTTTTAAAAAAACATATTTATTTTATACTTTTTCCAAGCAAAGTGAAAAAGCCATCATAGAACATATTGCATTTTTTTTCTTACAGCTAAGTGCCACACAGTCACTTCCAGGTGCAAGAATTTACCATTGCCAGTAAAAGACTTTTTTTAAGATGTACAGCAAAGCAAAAGGTCACTCATAAAAAATGTTGGCAGTTCTGATACTTCCCCCCCCTCCATTTTCTCAACTATTAACACTTCACTGCTGTTTCTAGGCCTTAAATTTAATTCACCACAGTGCAAGAACACAAGCATGGCTCACTGTAAAAAGACAATTCTGGTGACATCAGGAAAATACTAATTTCCAGCAGTGAGGAAAACACACTCCTGTTCACACACCTAAAAGAACAGTTAACATTCAGAAACCTACTAAGATTTTTGCAATACAATTTATGACTAATACATTAACACTAGAGAGGTGCAAGCTGGCTTCTTGTTTATGTATTACAATGTATGTTCAGAGGTAAATGTTTCTTCTCATGTAAAACAGATTCACTGAATTGCAACTGAAATTTCAAGAGCACAAAACTGCTGTAACAGATCCAGTAACGTGACACAGGGGTTTCAGAAGCTGGAATGAAGTTCCATCTCATTCATACCTGTCCCATTGCTACAGCTCAATCACCCCATTCAACTGCTCCAACAGATGTGTTTGGAGCTGCACCGTCAACTACAGCTCTGAAATAAAAGGTTAAAAATAACTCTTTTCAGGAAATTCTGAAGCTCTGATCTTTTCAGCTATCTGCTTTCCAGGCTAACCTCCTACACAGAGCTGTATTCATAGAAAAAGGCCACTGGGGTGGCAACTGTTAAACCCATTTTAACACAGACATCAAAACGCTGAGAAGTGATGCCACACAGGTTAAAGAGCAAACTTTCTCCTCCAGTCTTGGTGGGCAAAGGAAAACAAAATCAAGCACAGTCCCACCTCCGATCAACAAATCAGGAAATGAGTTGGGACAATAGCAAATGATCATAATTGGATTTTTGTTCATTTATTTTTCAGAAGTAACTTTGAGGAAACCTGTTACATTAGCCTTCTTTAAATGTAACTTCCTTTGACATTTTATGTGGGAAATACTGCTCTATTATATAAATATACTAGTGACTTTTTATACTCAATCTTTACATGCATTAGTGTCTGTCTGCAAGTTGAACAGCTGGCAGTTCAGACACTAACATGCCTTGACTGCAAACATGGGCCACCCTTAAATCCTTTGTTAAACTGAAAATTTAAACATCAAGACCTTCTGTGATGGAAAATGCTGCACTGCACAGAAGTAGGAGGAAGCTTTTGCTGAAACCATAGCTTACCCCAAGCTATCTGCTATCTGCTGTCAGTGTGTTTACTGCCTTACCTTCCTCATTATCCTCTTCTTCCTCTGCTTGTTGCTTGGCCAGCTTCCTTACTTGCTGTTCAAACCACTGCAGCCGTGGAGGTATTTCTGGTCGTTCTCTGCTCTGGGACAAGCTGGTGCTTTCCCTGGAAACAGGAGAGCTACTCACATTACTAGGAGGTAGAGGTGTCTTCTTTGGAGATGAAGATGGTTGGGCTCTGATGGCTTGCTGAATAGCTGTGTTCATTTCATCTTTGTTTAGACTCTCTGGGGCCAGCCCCTTTTCCAGATTCTTCTCATTTAATATTTTCACCTTCTTGCTGACAGCTTGGACAGCTTTCTTCTCCAGCTCCAGGTGCTTCTTGGACTTCAGGTGATTCTCATAAGCATTAAAGGTGGAGAACCTCTTGCTGCACACTGTGCAGTAAGTGGCAGTGATTTTGTTCTGCTCCTCTGTTACTGCCCTCTGTGCCAGGACTCTCTCTTGGAAATTCTCAGCAGTAACAGGAGGCATGTCAGCAACTTTACGCTTCAGGTTGTACCTATGCCAGTCGGTTTTGTAATGGGCACGCTGAATGTCACCATCCTTGAAAGCCACACGGCAAGTGATGCAAGTGTAGGTGGCCATTACTAGAATATGGCAAAAAAATAAAATCATGCTAAAAACATTAAGTAACAGACACAAAAAAGCCCCAACACAACATCCTGACAACCTTCTTTTAAGGCAATGTTAGACACACAGTTCTTGCACAGAATAACATTTATTAACACCAGCATCAGCAATGAGTGCAGTATTCACGGGCAGGAGCACGACAGGAAACTTATAAACAAAAGACTTTGAGTTTACTTGTACCACAACAGCAGCTGCATATCACAGCCCTGGATGCAGAACCCGCTGTGCCTGCTAGGACTGGGATGTATGAGAGGGCCCCCACTCACAGCAACAGTATTTCAAAAGCTCTATGCTTTTCACTAAAGATCAGTGACTAGAGGTTCTTAACAAGCCCATGTTCTGCCAACTGTAAGACTTTGAGGAGACCAGTGATTCCTCAGAAACAAGGGTAAAAAGGGAAAATCTGCTTACAGTCTATTATCTATTTTCCACAGCCTTTTTAAATGGAAAAAAAATAGTTACCGCATTTAAAAAAGAAAGCTTTCTTAGCTACTTTGGAGCAATGTAGTGTTGACAACACTTTATCCTGCAGAGCTGTTCATCTGTAGATGCAGTCAGTCATGCCTAGATCTAGCAATTGAAGCCACTGCTTACCCTGATCTCCCTCCACACTGTCCACTGATGCTGTCCTTTCCAGATCCATAAATTTCCTTCCTTCTCAGTGCTTAATGAAACTTAGCTTTTTCATTTTTTTTAAAACAAAGTTGATGGAATCAATTGAATGCTCCAAAAGCAAAGAGCAAAAAAAATAAATGCTCCAAAAGCAAAAAAATCTCTAAAATTCATTTCCCACACTGAAGTTCAGAGAAAACACCCTCATTGTTTAACTGATTTAGAAAAACTATGGTTTAAACTGGAGAAAAAAGAAATAATACATCAGGATGAGGGGGTCTGAAAGCAGGGAGAGGAAAAGCAGTCCCTCCCTGAAGCTACTAAAAGGGAGTAGCAGTGAATATAGAGTCAAAACACACATTATGAAATGCACATTCCCTGGAACCACTGGGCTCCTTACTTATTACTGCTTGTGCTATTTACAGTGCAATAGTGAAAGGGGGATGCAGTAAATAAAGGCCAGATCATCTGGAGTACTGTAAGCATCTACTCAATATAACAGCTGCTTTTTGTGTTTCAGGAAAAAAGTGCTCTCTGCTTCCTGACAGATCCCAAGTATTCCCTGAGGCGTTCCCCTGCCACCTGGAGCGCTCCCTGGCCTTCTCCCCAGCCAAGATCCAACCTTTGCCATAAGTCGCTGACTCAGAGTCACGCTGGCTGTGGGTGACAAGCCCCTTGCTGGACCCTACGGCAGAACGCTCCGTCCGTGACGGACAGACAGAAGCTACACGCTACATTACCACATTTAATGAAATGTGAAATAATAACATGGGGCATTTAACAACACACAACCTCCCCCCGCTCCGCCCCACCCAAAGAAAGCAGCTTAGAAGAAGAGGTGTGTAACTAAGAGAAGCTAAAGCCATAAACCTTCACCTCTGACTATTATGGGAGACGTGTTCACAAGTCAAACTGCAGGAAACGGAGAAATCCCATGTAGTTACACAGCACCTGCCCGTGACCCGCCTGCATTTTCCCCTCCCGTTTTAAGCGCCAGGACCGAAGCCCCGAGTCCCGCAGTGTGTGGAGCTCAGGAAAACCAAACCCCAGGCACCCACAAGCCCGCAGCACAGCCAAGCCCTTCCAGCCAAATGGCGATCTCTCTTGAGGCTCTTTATTACGGCTGATTTTAAGCTGCCTTCGGTTGGATTTAAACTAAGCCCGTGTCCCGAATTCTGGCACAAGCCAGGTGTGCCAGACACAGACAACTAAAATTTGGGCAAAACCTATAGAAAAATAAATACTAAAAACAAACAAACAAACAAACAACAACCACAAAAAACACGCCCCCCCCCAAAAAAAAAAAAAAAAAAAACAACAACCAAAAAAACCCCCAAGAGATAAGACAGGGTGCAGGCAGCAGCCGGAAGCCACTAGGCCAGGCGTGGACCTGGCCGGGATCACAGGGAGCATGCATCCCAAGGGAGCGCAGCCGGCTCGGCCGGACCACGCCGCCTGCCTCCCGCTCCTCGCGCCGGCTTGGGCCGGTTCATGCCATGCCGTGCCGTCCCGTCCCATCCCGTGCTATCCCGCCGGGACACGCACCTGCGGCCGGTAGAGTGCAATGGGGCAACGCCGGGAGCGGGGCGGGGCGCGCGGGCAGGAAGCGGCCGCGCGGCGTCCGGTGGGACGGCCCGCGCGCCCCCTGGCGGCCGGAGGGTGCGGGCACGGGCGGCGCCCGAAGGGACGCGGCGGCGGCGGCGGGAGCGCCGCTCCACGGGCCGGGCCGGGCCGGGCCGGGCCGGGCCGGGCCGGGGGGGGCTCTTCGCCTCCCGTTGGTTGGGTTTGGTTCGGTGGTGTTTCTTTTTGGTTTGTGTGTTCGGTTGTTTTCACGGAATAAGGTTGGAGAAGATGTCTCCGATCATCGAGTCCAACCTGCGGCCGAACACCGCTTTGTCAACTAGACCACGGCACTCGGTGCCACGCCCCGTCTGTCCTGGAACACCGCCAGGGACGGTGACTCCGCCGGGTCCCTGGGCAACCCATTCCAGTACCTGATCGTCCTTCCCGTGAAGAAATTCTTCTTGATGACCAACCTAAACCTCCCTGGTTGCAGCTTACGACTGTCTTCTTGTCCTGTCACTGGTTACCTGGGGGAAGAGACCAAACCCCATTTGGCTAGAACCTCCTTTCAGGTAGTTGTAGAGAGTGATAAGGTCACCCCGTTTGTTGGTATAGGGTTTATTTCCATTTCTGGGAGCAAATGCACGATGATGAGATGATAAAAGATAAAAACTAACATATATTTATTAAAACAATCAATATAATAGTTCCATGTTTACAAAACAGTGATCAGGCAGGTAAAGTGCTGCAGAATACTTAAATACGGACATTTTGTAATTCTCCACTTTCTGGTTGTCTGGGTGGAGGTTACTCACGGACTGCGACGCTGCTCATGTGGTGAGAACAGATGTGGAGACTACAGGGATTTATTTGTTCAGAAAGCTGAGACAGCCTGGCAAAAGTGCACAATGAACACAGAACAAGTAGAACAAGTATCTCTTCAGATCCTGTTACTTTGGGTTACAATTATTTAACCTCCTCTGCATAGAACAGCATTTTTTTCCAACAAACAGAAGAGTGGTCAGTTAAGTGTGTGGTACATATGCATGGAAACCCTGTGTTCTGGGAACAGGTGGTTTTGCACTGGATTTGACACACCAAAGGCCACCAATCTGATGGTGATCCTGTCACTCGTGTACTGCTGACACAAGGGGAAATTTTCAGAGTACAAAAGAGTGGCCTGCATCCCTGCCCTGACATATGTGCTTTTCTTCCATCAGGATGCGTAAAGAAGCCACTGCAAGGCACAAGAGGGTGAGCCCTTTACTGCCAGGTAAGTGCACACACACATAACACAAGCAGCACCGATCCCAGGTGCAAGGCAGGATCACACAGTTACCCCATGGCATGGGCTCACACTATGCCGTCTACGCTGCCCGTGTGCCTTTTGACTGGCAATCACATGCAAGGATTTTCCATAGAAAGACCGCATGTTTCAAAGCTATGTGTTCCCTTATACCCCCTTGCCTGGCTTCCTGCCCAGCCATTCCATTTGAAGGATGGGAAGGTGACAACAATGCTCCGTAGGAAAGATACTGCAGACCATTGTGACAGGAATTTCTAAGGAACTGCCGTTTCTTGGCTGCTACTATAATACAGCAAAAGGAAGTTTTTTCAAGGGATTTCCAACTGAGGGCACCGTGGAGAGGATCCACAAAGGAGAGAAACATTTTCTTTGCGTTTTGCTTGCGAACTGCTGGCAGTGGAATGTATTGTGTCCATGCAAAGTGTTTCTTACATGTGGTTGTGTGGAAGGGAAGAGATAATTTCCTGCAGAAAATTAGACATCTTTTTACTACCTGAGGAAGAATATTAAATGTTACAGAATTACATCCTTCCCATTACATAGTATTTAGGGGCTTGAATGTAACTATCATGACAGCAGAAAAAAAAAATCTAAAAACTCTCAGATAAGTAACTATGTCCCTAACTTTAATGATTTATTTGTTCAAGTTTTGGTTGTTTTTTTCTTTCTGGAAAAAAAAAAGAGTCATACTGGAGAACAATCAATCTACCTATCTTGAAACCAGTCTGAGAAACTCCTCCAACTGCTTTTCTTTCTGATCTAATCTATTATTCTAGAAGAGTGCCCCTGTGTTACATACTTTCATAACCATGAGTATTTTCCATAAAACAACAATAAAGTGCACACTGTTCAATGCCACCATTGACAGCCAGCTAGTCTGTCCTGCCAATCTGCTCCAGAAAAGCCTGTGAAGGACTGCTCCCTCCCTCCTGCCTCTCCCTGTCCCGCAGCCTGTTTCCCCTTCTGGCACCAGTACTCCTGGAACAGGAAGCACACAATTGTTTGGGCATCCTTCATCAGCAACTTGGATTTGTACTCTTTTAACTGTACGGATTGTCCTAAACGTGTGGCAAGGAAACGAGGCTAAGTCATCTGAGAACTTCTTAAACTCACTGATTTTTCAAAAAAAGCTTTTTTAAATTTTGGTTGAGTATTTGATTTTTTTTTAATTTGTTTTTTCCAAATGAGAAGAACAATCTGGTGAAAGCTAAAGAAAAAACTTAGCAACTAATTCTGTGGAAGTGATGTGGGCCATGTTTTCTAATGATTTCCAGAAACTCAGGTGCTGAGATATTGTAATTTGAAAGCTGTGTCTTGTGGGATCTATATCCAGCATCCACTTATTTCATAATGTATTTGATAATGAAGGCACAGGCGTACCCTTTTACTGGTAAAGGACAGCAAACACAGTCAATATGCATTACTGACACAAAAAGCACAAGCAACAATAAAGCTAGTGTCAAAACTTGGCATCCTTCCTTTTACTATACTCTTTTGGCCATCTGCCTATTCTTCCACCTCAAAATGAAAAAAAAATACAGAGTGAATTTCAAACACAGGTTTATATGTTAGTGGAAGATTTTTATCATCTGTTGCTGTACTTTTTGACGGTCCTAGATGACAGTATTTACCTCTTCAAATGCTAGCAAATGGAAATTTACTTGAGTAGTAGTAGCAGCTGACATGGTCCCTCAACTTTGCTACTGGTTTACATCACATCAAAAAAGCTAGCTTTATTTCTTACTGTCTCTTGTATTACTATTGCTTCATATAGCAATGCAGTTTTGTCACAGGTGAACAAAATAGCCCTAGAAAAATAAGTTATCTGCTTTTAATCCCATGCCACTCACTGGGCATGTGTGGACTTTAAACTGGCAAATAATTTAAACAAGTTCTTTTTTTGTTTTAAATTACATGCCAAGAAGAATATTCTGAGTGTCTTCTCTAGCAACTGACCTCCCCAAATGCTTCTAAGTATAAATAATCACCTTGCAACAAAACTTTTGTTGCAAGTGGAAGCAGCTATCATGGGAAAAAAAGCCAATCCAAAACCTACAGAATCTAAAATTAAGGAAGTGGCACCTAAAAAGCCTTTTTGCTTTTTTTTTTAATCTCTAATCCCTACTCCAAACAATAACTACCCCCACCTGCTCCCAAAAAGGTTGTTCAGTTTACACAATATTAACTTTTAAACATAAAGTTTAATTGGCTGACTTCACATGGGCAATACTGCCAAGGACCAGACTCCATCAAGGAACACAGCAGGTGGTCATATAACATGCCACTTTACAACTCTACAAGCCTATAACAGCAAAAAACTTGGAAATACATTATCATATCCAAAATAATTCAAATATTTTAAGTATGAAATCTTGGGGGTTTATATTTAAACTCGAACTGTGTCAGTTAATGTGTTTCATATATAGTAGATGCACTACTATAATGCAGGGATCCATACTTTTTGGTAGGATTGAAGGAGGTGAGATACAGTTCATCTTACTGTAGCCCTCTAGTAACTTGCCCTCACAATATGAGTCATTAATTGTATTACATGTTTGGAAAACTAGAGTAAATAAACTGCTGATACTGGAAATCTGGCTGAGGACCCCAAAATAGATGGTTGGCAAAATGGTAAAAGAAATCTCTCCCCAAGCTATTTTGAACAACTGATTTCCACCACACATTTGCAACCAAAAAGTGGATAGAGAATTCATTTCCATGCTATTACATTGAGGTATAACTACCAGAAACATTAAAGTATCAGTATTAGCTGATACTTATCCAGTTAATTCATTCTACATAAGGAAAATTTTTACAACACATCTAAAGGGATAGTTAAAGCTTACAGCTCAGAATTTTCTTCTTTTTTTTGTTTCTGTTTTGTAGTATTTGATGGTAGGTTTTTTTTGTGTTTTATGTTTAGTTTCTTCTGTGTTACCAGCTGCAACTTCAAGGTTAATGACTTCCAAGCAGATTTGAAAGGAAGCCTGAAGACTTTTTCTTTTCCTGGGATTCTGCTTCTTGACCTTGTGAAAGTCCCAATTCTTTCTCAATCTGCTCTAGCTCAGACTGGTCAAGCAGTTCAAAGTCATCGGCTTCCTCTGTGTCTGTCTCCTCGCTCAAACTGGGCACTGCCTGTGAGGGAGCTTGCTGTAGGGCCTGCAGCTGGTCCTTGATGGCAGCAGACACTGCAGCCATGATGACATCACCAGGAAGTCCACTCATTAAATTAAAAGTTTGGTCACTGGTCAAAGGCAAGGACAGCCCTGCAGTGGATGGTCTCTCTTTACTCTGTCTGGAAGCATGATCTGCCTTGACATCAGTTTGCTCTTTCCTTCGTTTCTGCTGGGTGGGCAAACTGATGCTTGAGTCGTCGTCATCGTTTGTGCTGGCACCATTTTCTAAAGAGGGAAACTCTAAAAGATCTCTAGCGAAAGCTTCTTCATGATCACTAGGTCGGTCAAAATCTATTACAGGTTTAACAGAAGAAAACAGCATTAGCACTCACAAAAGGTTTCCCCAAAAGGCAGCCACATGTAACAATGCGAGTAGCAAGTGCTCTTCTGAATACATTTACTAATCCCTACACTAGTAGTTCACTACTAGAAGGAGCTTTGTGTGACATCTAAAACAAAATGGTTTTGAGGTCATAAATCTAGCACCACAAATCAGCTGGTATCAACCTAACTATTTGAACAAAATAACTTTTTTAAGTTAATTTTTTTAGGTATCTATCTGTAATGAAATAACCCATGAAAATCTTCAGCACAGCTATATCTAAATATACCAACCACATGAAGTCCTAAAATCTATTTCTCTTCACAATATATATAAACTACAAATATGTAAACATGTAAGGATGTGTTACAAGCTTTTAACATGCATATGAAGTAATAGAAAGAATGTTTATCTGTTTAAATAAAGTATAAAACCAATGTAAAGACTAATTTTTTTTTCCTTTCTTGGCCAATGCTTGTATTAAAAAGGAAACAGAAAATGGAAGCTCTTCAGATGATTAGAATTATTTCATATTGTCAAGAGGATAAAAAGCAGGAAGTAATCAACATTAGATTTTAAAGGCTGCATTAATGAATGACACAATATTCGTTGTTAGAAATGTGTAAAACATACCATGTATGTTTTACATGTGGAGTACATGGCCTGTGGGAGAGCCTAAATCAGCACAAGTGAATACTTTCATCAAATATTTGAATGAGAAGGTAAAAAGTAATCAGTGTGAACTTACTTTCTATGAAAACAAGCAATAGGAGCTTGTTGTAGGAGCATTTATAAGGGTTAAGGAAATAAATCCTAAAAATTACTTATATGTCATTTTCTCCATTTTCTTTAGTAAAGACAGGCTGGGAAGGTGAGGAGGGTTGTGCTGCATGCAAAGTGGTGGCCCAAATGCACAGAACTTTGACAGGAGATGAGCCAGTCCTCGAATGTATCCCATTTGGTCTGGCACTTCTGTGTATGTCCCATTTGCTGAAATGCTCCATGGAGAAGAAGAGATGATGTTATTTTTCACTTAGCACGGCTTTGAATAGAGTTTGCCACATGATCCTTACAGCCAAGCTGGTGAGCAAACTTGGTAAGAGAACAGTAAGGTCGGTGAAAAAGTGGCTGGACTGCAGGGGTCAAAGGCTTCAGCAGTGACACAAGCTACAGCTGGAGGCTGGTTATTGGTGTCTGTCACATGGACTGAAACCAGCACTGTTCAAAGTTTTTATTAATGACTTGGATGACGGGCACTCTGCAAGTTCATGGGCAGAAAGGAATTGCTGTGGGACACATGTATTTGATATTCTGGAGGTCAGGATGCCTTCAAAGGGACCTCAACAGGCTGGAGAAAGGAATAGGCAGAAAAGGAACATAATGACATTCAGCAAAAGCAAATGTGAAGTCTTGCATCTGGGATGGAATAACTTGTACATCAGTATAGGCTGGGGGCAACAAGAAAAGCAGCTTTCCAGAAAAAGCTCTGTAGGCAGCAAATCAGTGGTATGCCCTTGTAGCAAGGAAGGCCAAACATACTAAGCTCTAGTAGCAAAACTGAAGGCAGAAAGTCAGTGGAAGGGATTTTCCTCCTCTATTCAGCAACTGAGAGTACACATTGAAGTACTTTACCCAGTTTTGACATCTCTAGTCTTAGACAGACAATGAATCCCATGGAGGACCCACATGATTATTTAGGGGTCTAGAAAACAGGATGTATGTAGACACTGAGAGAATGGGCCTTGTTTGGCCCCAAAAGAAGATAGCAAATGGGGAATCAGTTTAACTGCTGAATGGGAAGGTAGAGAGAAGATGAGCCCGACTATTCTAGTGCACAGTAAAAGGATCAGAGTAAACTGACACAAACTGGAACATGGGGAAATTTTGACTCACTATGAGAAGAAAACCTCTTCATCATGAGGGTAAGCAAATATTGAAAAAGGCTTTCCAGGGAAGTTGCTGAATCTCTGCCACTAGAGGTGTTCAGAATTCAAGTGGTCACAGCCCTGAGAAACTTCATAAAGCTTTAATGAAGAGCTTTGAACCTGCTTTAGATGAGAAGATAGATGAGATGAATGACAATTGCTTTTTACAACTTATGGTTCTGTGAGCATACAATGCTGCCCATTTATAACTTGAAATTTTAGGAAAATAACTTAAATTATTAATTTGGCCTGTAGTATCACCTGCTTGCCATTTACAAGGAACTTTTCCTAGGAGAAATGCAAGATGAGCAGAGCAACAGATCCACAGGTGAGATTACATCAAACTACTGTCGTCCTTAATCTTTATTCCAGCAAAGTGTTTCCTGATGGCTTGGTCTGTAAAAAGTAATAACTTTTTTCTGGTGAAGATCAAGACAAGAGAATCTTTTGAGAATCTGCTTGAGAATCTTTTCCTAGTCTAAGTCTTCATAGGCTCATTGCTGGCTGTCTTAATTTCTAGTAGTAAAACCTGATAACACCGATAATACTTTCTTTAATTGGCTATTTAACTGTATTCACTGCTTCTTTCTCAGCTTTTATTTGCTTAGCTCACCCACAAAACCAATGGTAGCAATTTTAAAATGTTTATTTGCTTAAAAGGTTTGGTAGAAGAGAGTGCTACATCTGGCATGTATTGAATGTGTTGGTTTTTACCAGGCACTACTTATTTATTTAGACACTTGCTGATGTACATGAACATTTTTAAGATGAAGACAGTTCTTACACAAGATATATCCAAAAGTATACAAAACACTAAGATTAACCTTAAATTCATTTCAGAGAGAAAAGCAACAACCCCAGAACCTTCTGGCCTCAAATAATTTTGAGGTAACTTTTATGTCTGGAATCCACTGGTGATATAGATTAAACTGTTACATACCATCAGATGTGTCTGTCTGTGGAGAATACCCCTCGGATAAGTTAAAGGTCCCATTATCAGTCCAGGATACTTCTGAGACATCTGTGTCAGATACTGACAGCTCTTTGGCAACAATTGCAGGACTAACCTACACAGAAAATAGTCCCATACATGGTATTATATTTTTAAAAAAATCACACTACAGAAAGCCAATGATTAGAGATTGAAAAAAATCCCTAGCAACATAAATCACCTCCTCTTTAAGCCTTAATTGAATAAACATGAAAATACTATACAATGCTTAGAAGCATCCCTCTTTGTAATAACTAAAGGCTGTATTATACTAAAGAAGCATAGAAAATTCCAGTTACTGTAATGAAAGCAAAATGAGCCTGCAAATACAAAATGTGTTTAATGTAACAAAATGAGTAAACCTGGACCAGAAAAACCAGCCCAACATCTATAAGACCATCAACAATTAGTGGAACAAAAATATATTTTTCCTTTACCAATTTATTGAACAATATTTAATTATGTCAGCTACAAATGTTTATCCCATGGGATATTTTCTTTTTTCCCCCAGCACAAAACCACCTCCAAAGCAATCCCTGTCAAAGTCAGGCTTTATACACTACTGATCAAATATTGCATAATATTTCCTATTAAAATTATTTTAATAGGATTTGACTGATATTCTTGTTATAACAGAAAAAGCTTTGCCATACAGTCATTTAGAATACTAGAAGAAAAATGAGAAATTTGAATGTTCTCGTACATATCTAGAAAGATTTTATAGATAATATACCTATTTACACCATCATTGAAAATTATTAGACAAGTGTTTACAAAAATATCTGAAAAATTACATGGAACCACTATAGCTTTCTATTAATGTTTCCATTTTGTATTTTCATTTGATAAAAATCAACTGCAATTTCAGTGTTGGAAATAAAAGTAACCATCTTTGCTTTTAAATATTAATGTAATCATTCTAAAGCCAATACAAAATAAACACATTCTTAACTCAGGAGGGCAATGAAACCATTACCTTGAAGGCCAGAAGTCACAAATGCAGTAGGTTGATTAGTATAAGGCTAAAGGTGGAGACTGCAAATCACTTCTAAAACATACTGCTTAGTTCAGGAAAACAGCCTCCTGGGGAGGGCAAAGTCTTCCACAGAAGAACAGAGACAGCAATCTAGATAGCTTCCCATTATCTATATAGATTTTAAAAGCAAGACAGGGCTGACTGAAAAAAAGTCACCTTAGGACACAGAGCTGATATGTCTAATTCACTGTCATCTTCTGTGGGTCTTGTTTTTGCTGTTTCTGAAAAAAAAAATATATATTTTTATCCTGCTCATGACAATGGATTTCCAGGTTCAGTGTGTGTTCTCTGTCACACATCTTGTGTAGCACAATAACTCTCCACCTGCTGACACAGTGCATAATTTATGTGCTATGCTACCAGGGAAACAAGCCTGACTGAGAGACTGGCTGCTTATCAAAATACAGCAACCACAGTGGGAGAAAGAATGTTATTCTGAATATATTCCAGTAGATCTGTTTACCTGCACTATACTTTCTTCAGGAGTCTCTGTTGCTCACTAGAATGTCATCTGCCCTGTCAAATGGATATCTCTCTTTTAGACTACGCTGCTGGTAAAATGCAAAGGTGTAATGTGTTGTTAGAAGAGGCTGTGTAGTTGTTCCGCCACATTACTTTTACATGAGAATGTGCAATTTTCTTGATAATTGCATGTAATCTTCATTCACAAACCTCTTCTTCTACCAACACCCAGCTACCCTGCATTCACAGTCATATGCAAATATGCATACAAAGCATCCTCTGAAGTCTGGTAGAATGTTGCTCTTTACAGATAAACAGAGATACAAATTTTGACTCCTTTGTCTGAGAATCTTTTAAACCAATATAAAATTAAAAACACAATCAAAGTGTTCTTGGTTGCTTCTTCCAGCAACTTGCTCTTTCCTCTCTTGTGCCAACACAGGGTTTGTGAGCTCATGTGGTGAACCCAAGAGGCAAAACAAGGTAGGGAACTTGTCTATGTTAAATTGAACTGGAGGATGAAATGCAGGAAAGAACGCACCTAACCTCAACAATTTTCCCAGTGCTGGCTTCTCTGCCAGTTTCACTTGAAAACTGAACAAGTAGAATAAAGCATGAAAGAAAATTTCCAAAGCATTATTCCTTATTTTCAATTACTATCATATTACATATAAGAGAAGGGGATAAGACACATGGTGGTTCTCCTTGGGTCTAGGAACAATACATTGTATAAGGAATTGTATCATGATTACAAGAAATGCATGTTTTAAAGCAGATATTAAGTTTACTGATGTAGCACTAATTTAAAAGGGTAGGCTACCTGCAAGTAGTGTGATTACACCACAAAAGTTTAATTACCAAAACTGGAGCATGCACAAGAAACAAACTAACTCTGTTCATAAGCAGATTTTCCTTGAAATTGCTTTACTATTTAAAATCTAAAAGTTTCCAGTATTAGAAAGATACTGGGTGAGACATGTGAGATTTTCTTTTAAATTGATTTCCCCCCTTTCCACATAGAAACTCAGATTAAGTTGTAGCTGATATCCTGTGGCAATTCTTACATGCTTTTGAAATATTTGGAGAACAATTTTTTTTTTTTTTTTTTTTNTTTTTTTCTGGAGGGAGTAAAATCCAGGCAGATTTAGATACAGGAACAGTTTGGTCTCTTATTAAAAATTCTGTTATGTACTTACTTTGAGACTCTTGAGTGAGTCTCTCTGCTGGGTAAGTTTGCCTTATCTAAAGAGAGATAAGCATTGAAGGCTTACAGCAAGTAGGTTTTTTTCTGAGAATTTATAAACAGTGCATCTAATAACATACAGTGAATTGGCCTTCTTTCTTTCCATGAAGTAATGATTTCCTTATTATCATACCCAGACATTTGACATACATTGTCACTCCTTATAAAGCTAATAACAGTAGCCAGGTTCAAAGCAAGAAATATCTCTACAGTTGGCTTCTCAGGACAAACCAAACTTTCTGCAACATAGATTAAATGCTCTGCATACAGAAATACAATATTATATAATAATATATGGGACTATAATTAAATACTCACCAGATGTCTCTTTTTTCTTCTGGTTGATATATTCCACTATTCCAAAATCTAGTTTCATCAGAACAGCCTTTATTTTGCTGCACAGTTTCTGTCCAAGTTCATTGCACTTAAGGAAGGGACATAAAAAGGCACACAATACTGTGATAAAAATGAAGACAGAAAAAAAAAAATGATATTGAAATATTGCCGTACAAGAAGTTACTCAAAAAGCTTAAACAATGCTTTGCGTAAGATAACTACTAACTTTACATAATACAGTTAGTTTTAAATAAAAATGCATTGTGAAATACCCATGTCAGACACTTTTAAGATAAAATCCAGCTTTCAGGAGCCATTCCTACTCATCACAGAAAATGCCATTATATTCATACCAATTGACATATTTTTTATTATCAGTAAGACACAATTTATGGTCATTATAACATCTATCATTACCTTGACTAAGTCTGATTTTGATATCTCAACTTGACAAAAGTGACTGTGCAACATTGTGCCAGAATCAATACACTGAAAAAATTTGTAAGCTGACTTCCATTAGACAAAACATTGTAAACAAATTCTTTCTTATATCTAACCTAAATTCACCCTCCTTCAGTTTAAAACCACTGCCTCTTGCGCTGTTGCAGAAGGCACTGATCAAATGTTTGTCCCCACCTTTCTTAAAAGCCCTCTTTAGAAACTGAAAGGTCTCTCCCCAGAGTGTTCTCTTCTCCAGGCTGAACATCCCCAACTTGCTCAGCCTGTTTTCATAGGAGAGCTGCTAGGGCCCTCTGATAATCTCCATGTTCTCTCCTTTGGACTCAACAGGTCCATGTCCTTCCTGTGCTGGAGAGTCCCAGGAGTGTCACCAGAACAGAGTTAGGGGAGCAGAATCCCCTCTCTTCCTCCCTTCCCTGCTGCCCACGCTGCTTTGGATGCAGCCCAGGACATGTTTGGCTCTCTGGACTGTGAGTGCACATGGCTGGGTCATGTCCAACCTCTCATCTACCAGCACCCCCAAATCCTTCTGGGCAGGACTGCTCTGATCTGTTCATCCTCCAGCCTGGGTTGGTACCAGGGTTTATCCCAACCCAGGAGCAGCACCTTGCACTTGGTCTTGATAAACCTCATGAGATTCCCATAGGCCGGCCCATTTCTTGAGCTTGTCCAGGTCCCTCTGGATGGCATCTTATCCCTCAGACTTGTCAACTGCACCACAGAGATTGGTGTCTTCTGCAAACTTTCACAAGTGTGTAAACAAGTAAAAATATAAATAAATAAATAGTCCCTACAGAGAGACCAAATAATGAACACTACACACACACCCAAATCATGACTGGAAAAAGACCATACTTACACAAGACATAGGAGAGGACAACTCCAGGAATGTAACTCCCCAAGACAGTGAAAAATGTACATATGCTGCAGACTAGTAGGCAAAACTGGCAAAAACATTAAAATACACCATTAACACTTTCAATTAAATTATTAGGTCATTTTGCAAAAGGAAGATGTTGCATGCTAATAAAATGTAGAATGCAGTGCAAAATTGAAGTTTGTTTTTAAAAACTGGGAATTAACACTTTTGGTGAAAATACGCATCAAACAGTCCATTTTGGATAATTAGGTATGCATCCCCTCTTCTACCATAAAAATATGCTATTTTTATTCATTTACTGTAAAGCTTTAACAAGCTCATGTTTACTGCTAAAATTACTAGAAATTATACCTTCATAGTGTGAAAATAGGTTGGACAATTCATATGCAGGAAAAAGCCCAACTCACTAATTGTAATATGACAATGCATGCTTGCTGCATGTGTAAAAAGCAAAACATCCTTCCTCTAGCTACAGCTCTCTCCCTTGTTGTGTTACTCTGTGAAACTATTTTCTCTCATATGCTGGCAAGCAATCTCTTGATGCTTGTTGGCTGCTCTAGTACCACTATTAATGACAAGGCTGAGCCAAATTTTCAATATAAAATGTGAGATTTGGCCTTTGTGGTGACTGAGACATAACTACATTTTTCACCACTGCATAGTGCTCAACTGATCTGTTGAAAGTTTGCAGAAAGGATCCATTTGCTTTTGGAGCTGAATTGCAATAATATGATTAATTAAAATAATGTTGCAGTAATAAGCATTACTACCTAATTTGCTTCTAATCACAGCAGTAAAATAATGGCATGGCTTAGAGAATGAGGTCAAGGAAAAGAAGGGAAAACATGCTATCAAAATTGTATTTTCTAAACTAGTATTAGATATCTCTTAGCATACAGTTACTGTCATGTTACCACATTACTGATACCACATTTCCTTACTTCTCTATAAACTTCTTTTAAATGTGACTTTATTGTCCAAACATACAACTGCTCTTTATATAATTTTTTTTTCTACATAATTTTCATTCTTCGATAATTTTCATTTTTTTCATCCAGTTACTCATCTGTATTCTCAGTCTAAACTGCTAATATTTAAGTGTGGTCCTGCATCCTTTCTATCTGCTAATTCTGAATGGCCTTCTTTCAGAACAGATTCTCTGGCAAAATTAAGAGAGATTAAAAGAGGAAAAAAGGGCTTGTAGTTTTCTATTAACTTGTATTTAGCAATACAAATATAAAAATGTAATCTATTATTATAATAATAGATGTTTACTTTATTTATATTTCTCTTTGGGGAAAAAAAAACAACCTGTTTCTTCTTTGACTAGAACTAAATGATGATATTCTTCCAAACTGGAGGGAAAAAAGCCTTACTCTTGCCTTGCCTCTTCATGAGCTGGGTTCTCCAGCTCAGTCTTCCCAGTAAAAAAGGGGAAAATCACCAACTATTAGTATCTAGAAGAAAAATTGCCACAATAAAATATGAGGAACTCTCTTCATGCAGCTATTCCTGAAAACTACACTTATTTGAGGGAAAAAAAAAAAGTTTACGTTTAGGAACATGCTTATTTACTTATTTGTTTTTCAAGTTTTTATTAAATTATGGCGTTTTAAATTTCTGTTTAAAAGTCCATGGAACAACTGGTGAAGTTCCAACAGCTGTTAAGTGGATGGACTGTATTGCTATAAACTTTACTGTGAACAGCTTTTCCAGCTGACTACCTACCCATATTCTCCACAGAAAAAAAAAAAAAAAAAAAGTTAGCAGAAACTCATGACTGTGTCAGAATGTACTTTTTTTTTGTTTGTTCACTTGTTTTGTCTTTTCTAAATCTATCTCACCTTTTTATTGAATCTTATAGAACTGTAAATCTTACTGGGGAGTGCTTACCTTGCCAGGGTTTTGTTCCTTAAAGTGGGACATTTCTTGAAGAAATACAAATAAATTCATCAGTGTTTCTGAAATGCACTGATTTATTCTGGGTCTGTAGTCTTGACAGGAATCAGTGAATTTCCATCTGAGTAAAACAAACAAAAATACCCGACTTTTTTACAGTTCATATGGAAGTTGAAACTGGTTGAAAACATCATGTAAACTCTTAGCCTCTGGCAATCCAATGGCTATTGCTATGCTAGAAACACCTGTGTTTGTTTCTTCATATTTTATCTTCTAAGTTGATCTAATTTGATCTTAACTAAAAATAAATTAATCTGTTCAGTAGTAGCAGTTTTCAGTCTATAAAAAATTACTGCTTATTCATTCTTGTCATATGAAGATATTGAGTTGTAGGCACAGTTGTCATCTAAATCAAGCAACTGACCCCAAACTTGTTTTTAAATACTATTTTGTCTTTTAAAAATATACCACAGTACTTTTTATTGCCACAACATGGCCACACATATTAATACATTTCATTTTATGCATTTAATCCTTGTGCTTTTTATTTTCTATTTTTAAATCTTGTTCTGCATCTATGATAATGAAATTGCTACCCAACCTAGAAAAAAAGAAATTGATCTTGGAGTCTTGATGTTTACATTAATTTTCCTACTGAATTTTAGTTTTGCTATTATATTGAAAGGACTTTCTAAAGCTTATCTTATGACTGTTCAGTCCTTTAAACAAAATAACAACGCCCCCCCCCCAAGAAAAAAAAAAAAAAACCTGTACGAAAGAATTTTCAGAAAATCATGGGATAGCATATGTGTCTATCACATTTGGGGCTTGATGAGTTTATCCAATATTGAGCTTAAATAGTCACATCAGATACCTTTGTGGAGTAAACAGAACATCTACAACAAACCTGGTTTATGAAACAACAAATAATAATAGACATGCACAGGCAAGTCACTGTTGAGATAAGTGGAAGATCATTTGTTCACTGAAGCAAGACTGTGGTATGCTTGCTTACCTTGGTTTGCATAAGAATGTACTGGTGTGTCTTTGAAATGCTTATTTGCTTACAAGGTGATAAGGAGGTTGAGATTAAAGTCCTGGGTGTGTGTATCTGGTCTGCTTGCTGTATCTCAAAAGAAGAGACTTAGAAGCTATCACAACGACCAGACTCAGACTACATCTGGAGAGTCACGTCTGCAAGGAGAAGGGGGGGGGATAAAAGGAAGGTTGGGACAGAACATTTTTGCGCGCCGTTGGTGGAGCAGGAGACTCCCGGCTGCCCAGCGCTGTGCTTTGCCTGCCTTACTCGCTTGCTATTTTAAATAAAATTGCTTTATTGAATTAAGACACTTCAAATTGTCGTGTCACAATTTATAACAATTTGGTGCCGTGACTCGGATGGAGAAGTAGATCAGTCGCTACGGGACGATCGGGAGGCGCCCCGCCCTTATGGCAGCCCGGCTGCCCCAGGCTTTCTGATCACTCTCCACCGACGAACCTAAATTGAGTAACGGGCAAAGGAGAACCGGTTACCCCTGTAAACTTTGTGCACGAAGAACCGAGTGAAGACGCAGGACGCGTGAGTATAGGCCGGTTACCCGCTCGGTTTGGGGTGGTTTTCCCAGAGTGCTGTGTGTGAGAGGTCTCGTAGAGACCAAGTGAGTGCGGACTCTGTATTAGTGCGTTTTCCATTCCCCGCGAGGGGCTGGGCCACGAACCAGGGGAGCATGTGTGTGAGAAATTGAGTGCACTCCGGAAGATGGGACAGAGGAAAAGCAAGCTCTCTGGTCCCATGGGAGAGGGGACCCATGCTAAGCTTCCCCAGATTCCCAGGGATAGCCCCTTGGGTTTGATGATAATTAATTGGGATGCTTTCCCATCTAGAAAAGGGAAAGACAAAGTTAAAATGATACATTATTGTATGGAAGTGTGGGGGGGGAAACAAATTAGGGGAGACTATTTGTATTGGCCGGTATTCGGGTCCTTTGAGGATTGGATTTGTCAGGCTCTAAATATATATGTTAACTCAAAGGAAGCCTTTGATTCAGAAGAGAGCGAATATGCTTCCCTGTGGACAGTTGGGGAGACAAGGACAAAACTATTTGCCTTATCAGCCAGGGAAAAGAACAAGAAA